CGTTTTAAGCCGTTAAAGTGTTTCATTTAAATGTGTACTACTCGCGTAAATTATAGACAGTATTTAAGATGTATGTATTTATTGTTATTTGTTAGTTATAAATGGTTTCAAATTTAATAAAACTATTTTATTTGTTATACTCGCAGACAAGAGTTAATTTGCTGGTTACTAGCCATGCCATGACTTTAAGTACAAAAGACTTAAATCCTATTTCTACTCACAATAATTGGTTATACAGTGTCCTAAATTGTGATGAGAATGAATTATAACGGAAAAGATTTCAATGGAAGAAAAAGTTCCTGGTAGTTGCTCCACGTAAATAAAACGAATTTGAGCCGAATATAAATGGTCATAAGGTTTTAAATGCTTTTTTCGTTATTCGAATATTGCTTGTAATGGTCGCAGAGGCGTGAGAATGGCCGTCAAAAGCGGCATTACGGATTTTCTACAGCGCATCAACATATCTCTATTCCCCTCTAGAAAATATATTCCGGTTTAAAATATCTATGAAAGCGTAGGAAATTTGTATGAGTAAGCATAACCAAATATTTTTCTAATAGTCTATGTTATTAACAGTCCTGCTTTGTTGTAGTAACTTTAACGTGTTTGAAAGATGTTTTTTACACATTTTAATTTTAACAGCAGATTAGTGCATTATTATAAGTCGCTTTAGACATGAAGACTGCCTCTGTAGCTAAATGGTAGAGCGTGAGAGGTACTCGGCCCAAATCCCGGCGAAAGAATAGATTGTTTCGGTTACACACAGATATGTGTTCGCCCTATGCCCCACGAGGGGAAACGAGATTTCGCTTTTATAGTTATGAAAAAATCGGAATGTTGTAAATAGGTTTGAAATAAATATCTCAGAAATTTCTAAGTACAGATCTAGTAAAGAAAATGTTTATATATCTTCGATTTGATATCTATGGATTTTTATTTACTTAGTACCTGCTTTTATCATCTGTTCTTTTCTGTTTCGTTCAAGTAAAAAAAGTTGTTCTTTCACTGGAAAAAGCAACATTAAAACCCGCTTCGCGATAAAATAAATTAAAGGAAAACCCGCATCCGTTCTACCTTCTACAAGATAGCACCGTACATAAGTGTATGTGGAATTACAATATGGCTGGCTTATATGAAATTAAAATGTATAATAACATTAATTGTTTCATGTATCTTGTAAGTTATTGATGTAAAAATTTGTATATCTATATATGAAATAGCGACTTTTACTGTGAATGAAGAAGACAGAAACATCACAATCATTAGAGAAATTTCAATGCCCCTTCGTATGGCATGGAGACAGACATACTTCTATACCTGATCTAATAATAAACAGATAATCTAATAAATTTCAATTTGTTAACGAATATTCATAAACAATTACTAATGAAACTATGAAACTAACATGTTTTAAGATAAGATAATGATTTAAAAAATTGCCTCAAATGGGAAACTATGGGACCTATTGAAAATTGGTTACACATTGCTAGAGCTGCACTAGCCTGTCAAAGTACTGTGCACTCGGTTCTTTGTGTAACTGGCTTGATAACTGCTCTTTGTCGGTCTGCTAAGCAATACCAGTATAACTTGCTGCAATTCTAAACCATTTAGCGAGACCGACTGAAATCGATACTTGCTTGGGAAATAATTACTGCTTTCTAGGATATCCATCCTGTCCTTACTATACCATTGTATACAGCCACCATTAATGGCCCACACCTGGGCAAAGATTGTCTTATAAGAGTGATCAGTGAGGTTTTGTGAACCCAAGCTCAAAAACTATATGAACTACCGCCACTTAATTAGTAAAGACAATTATATTTATTGACATTTATTTGAGGCACGTGGTTGCATTTGCTACTTCTAAACTCGGGCTGTTACTAGGAATTTCGTTATAAAACTGTTCAGCTGTCCAACAGTTGAGTAACTACTAGACTAATGTATGTACATCAATATATTCATAAACAAACAAATTACGTCATGTATGTATTGTCTGTAGTTGACATATAAATAATTTTGAGTTCTAAGTAGTTTACGAATATGTCACGTTTTAAAGCGTGAAGTGTTTTATTTAAATATTTTATGTATTATTAAGTATGTTTCAAAAGCAATTTAAAGGCATATATTTTTTTTAATATTCTCATGACTAAAACAAATGTCCGTTAAAGTAATCATTTGATTTTAAAATGTTGAATCATTTGTATTTATACACTAAAGGTCGGGTCAATCAAAAAAAATCGTGGGTTTTAATGATCTGTGCCCACACAAAATTGAATATTTTGAAAGCTCATTTGTGAATCACAACAACCTAATTTTTTTGATCGAGTCTTAGTTTTATTATAAAGGTATGTCCTATTTGTGTTTGTGTAAAGTTTAAGCTGTAAGCGCTCTAAAAAAAGTGAACAATATCTACTTATATTCAGTTATTCAACTGTAGATTGTATGATGTGTACATAAGTAGATTTTGTAGATTTAGAATGGAATGGAATGTTTGTTAATTTAAAAAGGGCGCAATTAAGTGCAGCCAATCTGTGTGCTAAGTGCTACTTTGCCGCAACACTCCCACTCTCTCTCACAACACTCCTACTGTAACTCCCACTCCCACTTCATTCCCAAAAAGCCAAAAGGTTTCATTGTTCTAGCATCAAAAAATACGAATTTTCATACAAATTTTCATCCCCCTTTTCAAACTCTAACAACCCTTTATTGGCATTAAAAAAAACTTGCCTATGTCCTTTCTCAGGGCTCTTGTATATCTGTATACCAAATTTTATTTGAATCGGTTCAGTAATTACGCCGTTAAAGCTGGACAGACAGACAGATAGAGTTACTTTCGCATTTATAATATAATATTAGTATAGACATGTTAAAATATTCAAGTGTTGGTCTATCGCGAATATAACACATTTAAACTTTTAAACGGTTTAAAAGCGCTAGCAGATTTGATATGACAGTAGGAACACTCTCCATCTTATCCCCCTGCTGCATTTAAAAGCCAAATTGTAGTAGCAATAAATTTTAAATATTTATCTATAATTCTTTATTTTTTGCCCAATTATAATTTTCTCATTTCTTATTATTTTTTTTCTAATTAATTGTTAAATACTGTCTATAGTTTACGCGAGTAGTACACAATTAAATAAAACACTTTAACGGGTTTAAAACGCGATATATTAGTTAAACTTATTTGAAAAGAACTCGGCCCGACGTTTCGGATCTTTGCAGCAGCCGTGGTGGGGAGGGGTCTCCCCGTGACCACCGTTTTAACCGTTAAAGTGTTTTTTTTAATTAATTGTTTATAAGTAACTAATTAGTAGAGATTCAGGGAACATGTAATGAAAAGCAATGTTCCCACGCAAAAATATTGTATGTACTATATAAAGCATAGGGCTGTCACTTGAAATACCTTTGTTTGTTCTCGGTTGAGTGGAAGAAGTAGATATTCTAGGTAGGATCCTTAATTTCAATCTCAAAATGTCTCGTTAAATTAGAAGTACACATTACAAAACACCCAAAAATTAAATTTTACAACAGTTCGACACGCGGACTATAAATTAAGGGTTGAGTCATTTTGTAGGTAAAACTCCTTCACTAATATAGCTCGTGTTTTGTGTTTGTTGTGTGAAAACTATCGTTTTATTTACTCCTGTAGCCTTTCGAAACAACTTTTAAATGCATAAAGTTTTAGCTGACAACCCTATATCGGCCATGTAGGCAGGTTATGAACTCTACCTTTATGACGCTGGTACGGCGTAATCATCAACTTTGAGCTTACTTTGAATAACTCCAACTGTAAAACATTGCGTGTGTTTAAGGATTAACACATTTTTGGCTTATTAATGACCAATTAATCAATATTTTTTCAACCATGAAAAAGGTTATTAACATTAAATTAATGATTACTTGAATGTAGTATATTGGCATATCAAAGTTATTTATGATTATTGATTGCCCTTAAAATACCTTTATTATGTTTAAAAAAGCATCACGCCATATTACTATGAAAATAAAAAAAAAAGTATTTGTCAAAATATAATTTTTATGGTAATTTGTAATTTAAGCGCTATAAGATTTTGGTTGAGCTAAGTTTAGCATATTAAATATGTCCCTTCATGACCACGACTACTGTTAAGCCTCCTAGTCAAGACGTTAAGAATTAATTCATGTTTTTTGGCGTTTAAAACCGTTGATGATGAATGAGTTTTTAATTAAATACAAGTATGTATTTTTAATATTACCGTATGGACCGCACCTACATAAAATACAGTGCAATCTATTATTATTTCTAACAAATAGACCTGACCAAATAAGTATTTGTCTCTATAACACACTATGACGTTAAATATATTATAGGTATGCTAATTGCGACTAGCTTAAAAACTTCTAGACTTCAATACCAGTCCTAATTTTTATTAACAACGACGATTATAGTACAAAAATCTTTAAATACCGGTAGCCATTTACAGCCATTCGATTTTAATGATATAAAACGTTGATCCAAGTTTAGCTTAATTAATTGGTTGTTTAATAATTAATTAAACTGAACTTGGATCTGTGGACCGCGAGAATTTCGGTTCAGTATTTTTGGCAATTAACGAACTTAAAAAATAAATATTTCATTTAATTTTCCTCCGTGACCACGACTGCTAAAAAGCATCTGAAATGTCGGACCGTAGTAAAAAATAATTTACAAATAAATTTAACTAATATATTTCGCGTTTTAAAGTGTATTTAAATACAGACAGAATATAAATATTTTGTTTGATCCTAAACTACGCAAAAGCGGCTTCTAATGTTTTATCATAGTATTAAATAAGGACAGTTGTTCAAGCATTTATAATCTGCTATTATGCTACAATTTGGTAACAAAACTGAAGAGACAATAGTATAATCCGTAGAAACCGTTGTCTAAAGAGTAGTACGGCTATCAATCATGGGCTTCGAATCTTAGCTGCAATCTCCGAGCGTGTGAATGCGGTCGCAGTTGCCAGTGTTCTATATTATTTCGTGTGGCAACCCTATGGGAAACAGAATTACCATATCGATAAATGTCCTACAAATTATTAGCTTCTCTTTATATGGTATTACACTCGTGGGGTTAATAGATATTAGTGAGTAAATGGAGACCCACAAATTATGAATTATCAATTTTTTAAATAAATATTTTAGTTACATAAAAACTACAGTAAATATATTATCAAAGGATGCCACTTTAGTGCGCCTTTATAAATGGGATAATTATTCCTGTTAAATTCTTATCACAGTATAAAATAAACAGTAACGAAAAAATATATAAACTTTAAAATAAAAGGGCTTAACATTAAACCTAGACATTATATGCGCGTAGCGTGAAAGACTAACAATTCACACTCATTTGTTAATACGAGTAGAATAAATGAATAAGCCGTGAATCGTCGACTAAATTGACTTAGTGTTTTGCTTTAAGTTGTCATTAGTTTTCTCGCGGCCGTTCGGGCGTGTGCTGTCAGAGCATCGTGACCAGAAGGGCTAGGTCACTGATGTACGGGCACTGTCGATGCTCCGATATACGATTGGCGAGGCGAGAAAATATTGCCAATAGCACGCTAAGGCCACAGTCACGTCTGCGACATAGATTAATAAAGGCAGTTCGGATGATTGGATTTAACGCGTTTAAATAATTAGACCTTCTGGTGCAAAGCAAGCATCTGAATCATCGGTTCGTAGTTAAAATAAACCAAAACTAAGTTACATTATGAATGTCACCTTTTAAACCGTTAATATTTTTTTGTTATTTAAGAGACAATATTTGAACAATTTTATGACACAGGCACGTCTTGAAGATTAAGTTAACTTAGGGGCAATTGGTACCCTTTTGATCTTGACTTCAAATCCTCCTTGTATTTTTAATTTATTACAGGATCTACAAGCGCTCATGTCATTTCAGTTTATAAGTTAATAATTGAACACGACATTATGTGAAGTGTTACAACTTTGGTATATTATCGTAGATGACACCGTTCTTGTGATCTAATTGACACGCCCACTGTGCTAAACAATTTTTCAAGAGCGTTTTTTCTTCGTCTGACACGCGATATAAAAACGACGACATTAGTGGTTCTATTCTTTAGATATATCAAGTAACTATAATAATAAGACTGTCAAAATGTTACACGGAAAATAACATTACATTTAAATCCTTTATGTACAGTATAAACAAATATTCTGTGTTTTTCCGCGTTTGAAGACGCGTCTTTGAAAATTCCCAACTGCATAATTAACAAACTATGTTCACAGTGTGAATACGATCGATTTCGACTGAGTTCGTTCACACTAGTAATAAGTTCATGGTCGGGTAGTATTTAGGATGCTAATATATGTATGTAGGATGTGGGCATCGTGGGCAAACATTCGGAGGCTACGCGAGTTAAATTTAGCGTCGTGGAAAACAATTCAGTGTAGTGACGTAGGCAATCATTGTTACATCTTCGACCATAATTGTTGTATTTTTCTACAATTACTATACACGTGTGTGTTTACGGCCTTTTCAAATTTAATTACAGCAACACTGCGCATTTGTTCGTACTATTTTAAGGATGTTGATGATGAAGTACTTTTACGATATGATATTCACTCTATCTATATTTTGATGATTTGATAGTTCAAATAAAACACTTTAACGGTTTAAAACGCGATATATATTAGTAAAACTTATTAGAAAAATATTTTTAACTTCAGCCCGACGTTTGATAGTAACAAACGTGGATAATTAAAACTTGCTATCTCAGTAAAATACTGGATATTATCTATACTAATGTATAAAGCTGAAGAGTTTGTTTGCTTGTTTGAAGGCGCTAATCTCAGGAACTACTGGTTCAAATTGAAACATTGTTTTGTGTTTCTTAGAGCATTTATCAAAGAAAAATTAAAGCTAAAACACATCGTGCTACGTGGAAAAAACGAGGAAAAATTATTCATTCTTGTGGGTTTCCGTTACGTACGCTGCGAAAACGGTTCGAGATAGTCAAAAACAATGTATGAAAAAATAATTTGTGTTGTAAAATAAAAAATGTTCAAGACAGTATATGTTTATATTCTAATACTAACTTGCAACAGAGACGGGATGCGGAAGACGCCGTGGGTAACAGCTTTTATCTATATTTAAGCACGTTTTCCAAAATAACTATTCTAGCAGACAAAGCCACTGACACCGCTAGTAAATTATATTTTATGCTTGTCTACATGTAAGGCTTTGCAAATAACAATAAAACAAAAGACTGCAATCTAAGATGGACTTAGTGCATCTCAAGTTACATCTGCAATCCGTATTTTAATTTCATTCACGTTTATTTTCGTTTGCCCCTTCGATTGACTCATTACCGAATCGAGCGTGTAACGAATAACTATATGCGCCGATAGAAAAGGCGGGCAGCGTTTATTATACCTATTTAAACAGTAACAGTCCCACGGGTCTCACGATTTCTGTACGCAAGCGCCGACGAACTTGATCTTCCCATTGTCTTAGTTTCCCACGCAAATGTGAGGAGAAACGGGAATCGATTAAAAATTATTGCGAGCTCTATCTATTTTACCATTTAAAATAGATGGAGATTTTATACATTCCGGCCTAAAATCATATTTATTCAACATTAAATATCGCGTGCCTATAGCTAAATATATACATTGTTTCATTAAGACATTTAATTTAGTAAGTTTTTCTTATTTGAAATAAAACACTTAAACGGTTTAAAACGCGATATATATTAGTTAAACTTATTTGAACTAAACTACGGCCCGACGTTTCGGATGCTTTGCAGCAGCCGTGATCACGAGAGACTAGTTAAAGTATTTTTTTTAAATGGGCACTACTCGCGTAAACCGCGGACAGTAATAATAATTAAGTTAAGTTAAAAAAAAATGATAAAAAAATAAGAACAAGAATCGAACTCACGAGAACAGATACTGCGTATTCATGTGTAATTAAAAAAATGAATTATTAATCTACCACACAATATAAATTGGCAGACCGTTCAAAATTCTTTTGAAATTCCGATCTTGAACAAACAATCGGTCTTTACAGATGTAAGTGCTAACTGCCCGACAAATACTGTATACAAATATAGTCAAAATTAGAGAATTCCTATAGTTTAAGGTCTCACCACTATGGGATGGAAGGGATTAACCGCCTCGGCCGTTCAGAATGGTTTGTATTAAACTCCCTAATGCAACCACACTAAGAATCTACTACGCCCCCTCGGACTTCAATTCCCGCCTTACGCTCATCGTCCCGCCTTAGGCTCATCGTCCCCGCGCTTACGGCTCATCGTCCCCCTTACGTCTCTCCGTCCCGGCTTGCGTCCTCCTTGCTTTATTCATATTGTGTACCCAATATCTTTGCACGAGTAAGCGGGTGTCGCAGCCGTAGCCGAGTTGATAAGTGCTGATACGCTTTGTTACTTACGGTAGGTTACTAAAAAAGGTTATTAATCCCTTTCGATCCCATATGCCTTAAATGGAAAGCAATTAAAACTTAGTTAAAAGTGTAACTCACCTTTAAAAAAACTAGCACGCTAAGGTCCAAGGCGAAATTTGATATCTGAAACAATTTAAACAAAACTATTAAGATACATAGTGATTTATACTAATCAGTTTATTCGGAATATAAGGCTAATGCAGATTTATATCGTATGTACTTATTCTGGGGTTACAAAATTCTTTCGTCCCACAGCTGCCCTACTACACAACTGACAAATTTTACACCAAAATAAATAAAATAAGTCACCGAAATGATGAGCTATGGGTTTCCTCGAAGCATACTTCTAGTAATAGTTTGCAATTAACCTAAGCTCATGGTTTGCAAGCCCCTATAATAGTCGAGAAGGTGCGTGCCGCAGGATCTTTATAAGGACAGTTGGACGGAACAGCCGGCACTCACCTGCGCTTGCACATGACGATGGCGGCAGGACCACCCGCTATAACACGTGCTTCATTTAACCGACCCTTTCGTACTCTATAAATATTCAGTAATACTTGGTTATATGTATACCTTATTAAATATAATCTGGTGTAACCTACTGATATATGCATGGTAAAGAGAACAAAGTAATTCCTGGAATCGTTAAGGGAGAATCAAAATTAGTTAAAAACTTGATAAATCTTGCTATCGTGAGATTATAATTTGGTTATATAAAAAGTAATAAATGATCATAGACAAACACATTTATTAGGATTCACCCACAAGTAAAGATGTAACTGGTAACATTCTAGTATTCTCGAAAGTAATATACTTAGAATTTAGCAGTCCTCAACGTATTACTAACTAGCTTTTACCCCCGACGTCGTCCTCGTCCCTTTGTTCTTGCGACTTAATGTAAATACCTAGTTCCTGAGATTAGCGCGTTCAAACAAACAAACTCTTCATCTTCATAATATCTGATAAACAGATCAGTCTTTAAGATATTACTAACGAGAAATCGGTAACTGTCAAAACACGATCCGATTTTAATAATATAAAATTTGCGCATGATATTACTTGACTTCTTAAAATTGAGGCTTTGTGGGCGTGAAAGGCAAGCGGACAGGCGTTTTACGCACCATTACGGACCATTTACCGGTAAAATTATAATAAAAATTTAATACGACATCGCTGAATCCATTGGGGATAAAATTTGTCACATAATGTTCTTGATTAAAATCGACAAGAAGTCGAACGCTTAGCCGTCCTTTTGCCAATAATACGCGCCTTTAACGTGTTTTTAGCGATAAGCCTTTTCAGATGTCGTTATTGGATATTGTTTTGATCTTTCTTTTGGTAGCAGTAGCAGTTTTATAATCAATATCAAACTTTGTTCTATGTGAATTTGTCAGCAATTGTAACATTTCTGTTTTTAGTTTTTTCTCTTCTTACAGTTGTCTAGGTTTTTTCCTCTTAATATTACATATAATTAGTAAAATAATTATTGTTTTAACCTCCTTCAAACCATACAAATTTTGAGGACATTGGCTCTTGCATTTCGCTAAGTATATGACATGTCAACAATATCTTTCTGTTATATGTATGTGTTAAGCCTAACCGGCAAGTACATGTAACAGGTTTTGTGGGCGTGGTTCCCTCAGAAGTAGTTGAAAAGCGTCAAGTACTTAATTACGTTTAATTATATGTGTATAAGGTCTCTGAAAGATAAATAATGTTCAGAAATTCATTCTCTTAAAAACCAAATAAGCCATTTTTATATTGATAAGAGCTTGTAATTGTATACATTTTATTCAAGATTGAAAAGTATTTACTGTATCGGACCCCGAACCTACGATCACCAATTACGACCGTGCCGTTTCCATTATTTCTAAAATCTCTGCATTTGTAATGCATCTAAAAAATGCAAGCTTTAAGACCTCCGTTAAAAGCACAACGACATTTGTTACTTATTTCAAAAGTGTATTTGGTTGAGATAATATTGCCAGATTAAAAAGCTTAAGAAATTAAAGACTTGCTAAGTAGTTTCCTAAATTACCAGGTCACATTACGGACACGTGTTTTAGGTAACATTTAAAAGATTTTAGTAGTTAAAGCTCGAAACGTAATTATTAATTTCTGCTTAAAATACCAGATTATAAGTCTGGCATTCTAATTGCAACTATAGAAATATCAATGTATATAAGACTTTGTTTGACAGACTTTTTTTACTCAACAAAACAGTATACAAAAGGTAATATAACATCCAAACGAGATGCACTGTCCTTATTTGGTTTTGGACATTCAGATCAAATCGGAACACGAAAATTATTTTCTACTAGTCTATACAAAGTAGTTTCAATTGAAATAATTTAAAATTAATAGCGATATATCAAACCACTAAACTAGACAAGCTTTGCAGATGGAATCGACTAGCCATAATAAATTAATATCGTCATTTGCTGGCCTGTCTCATAATTCTCTCGTGCCTTGAAATATCTATAAACCAATTTAACGATTCCTCTTTAATAAATGAGGCTAGCACTTCCTTGAGATACATTTTGAAAAGGTAATTGAGCTGAAACATTGTTTTATCTGTGACTGTAGGTTATATTTGTTGGCGAGTACTTTACAATTTAAAAAAATACCACAGATAAAAAAGGCGGGAAGGTCAATCGCGTTTCAATGTCAGTATGTGGATTTCCGAATATCCAAATCCTAGATAGGCCATAGCGCATCTTCTTTAGATGTTATGTAGCTTAGGTATCATCAAAGGAACTCCATGCTTGTCTGTCCACATTTATGATAAAATCAAAATGTAATTAGACAAAATAGCGTCATTGGAAGTCCAAAAGCGGGTGTTAGTAGTAGATATTAGTCCCGTGTCAAATAAGCCATCTACAATGTAAACATTGTTTTTAGGAATAAAATATTTTCAAAGGAAGTCGAATGTATAAAAAATATAATTCGGGAAATTCCAGTGCATTAGACCTAACACAAAAGCAATATGAAACGCGACGAAATAAATTCTCTCGACTCGCAATAAATGTTATTGCGCAAATAATTTCTTTACACTTATTATTGAAGTGTTAAGTTGCAACACTAAAGCGCTGATCGCACTAAATCCATTCTGCGCTATTGTCCTGGGGCATAATGAGCCCGATGGCCTGAACTGATACACCGTTTTGATTAAACTGTGCTATTCTAAGAAATAAAACGTACATTGCGTTCTACTATCAATCTTTACTATTATTATTTTGAAATACATTTAGTATTGGCAGTCTTAAAACTTTAGTATATAAATTTAGACGCTATAGAAGTAGTTTTAATGAGCTCGTTGGCGTAATAGTAGCAATGTACGCAAGTACAGGTAAGTTCGAATCAGAGAAAAACATTTTCCTAATAAATTATTAAATTGGTGGTAGAAATATCGACATTCTATTCGGGTAACGAACTACCGTGCACAGATGAAAAAGCCGTTAAGTTTAATCGCGTCTTCAGTTTCAGTTTGTGGATTTCCGAATATCCAAAGCCAGATAGTCGAAGCATTTTAGAGTTCGATCAAGTAAACTCCGTGCTTTGAATGAAGTGCGTGCAAAAGAATTTGTTGACTTTTTCGTTTTGAGTAAGCAAATATAATATAACACAACTGCTGTTATGTCACACATACACAATTTATAACATAACAATAATTAAGTACATTTTAATAAAAACATAAAATAAAAATATAATAAAGTATATATAAAATTTGCATTTTACAAATAATCAAACAATTATTTCGTTCGAAAATTCTCGTGTGATCTTTTCGTGGAGTGTAAAAAAAATGAATAGCGAGCAAGGAATCTTTCTCACGGGCACAGAAATCATGGGAAGGGAATTTTAGAATTCCTGAAGATCTAACTAAATGAACCGACATTTCTTGAACTGATTTAATGCCGATTTAAACAGCGTATTTTACACAAGTCGGGAAAGTCAACTTTATCATAAAAATTCATGTCATTGTGGGAGTTTAGAGATTTCTTTTAAATTAGTTTGTAAAACTTTAAACGTTTGTACTAAATATTGATGATATATATAAAGATAAAGAGCTTGTTTGATTGTTTGAACGCGCAAACCTCAGAAACTATTGGTTCGAGCTGAGCAAGAACGACGGGACGCGGCCGTACGCGACCTTTTATTTATAAAGATGAAAAAAAGGTTTGCCAAATTAAATTTGGATACCCACAATAACTACTCCAGCTTCCGTACATATCTGTGGAACAACACAAACATTTTTTTTTATTTATATCGCTCTCGTGTGCGTGTAGAAATCATTATAAAATAAGGCTATATAGACTATATCCGTGAGTGAAACCTTTGTTGTCGTTTAAATGAGGACTCAAACCACAAATCTTTTTAAAGACATTATAATATGTAAAGATATTTTTTTGCAAAATGGAGATTTCTTAAAACTGGACCGCAAATACGACTAATGGTAAAAGTCGCGGTGAGAGGCTCAATTAGAGGGTGTTGAGGGGCGGAGGGGGTCTCGTTCATTGCTCTTCCGCAGACTTTACGAGTACATCCACCCTTTCAAACTTGTTAACAATTTATTTTTTAGTTTATAGTTGGGAAAAAGAAAGTCAATCATATATAATTTTTTAACTATACATGATTTAACTATAAAAAACAAAAGACAAGCGCATTTAACAAAAATAACCGATTTAAACGATCTATACATGTTATAAATATGTCTGTTTTAACGCGCTATAATTTATTAAGTTGTTTGCAAAAATCAATTTTGGTGCTTATAATAACTATTCCACACGGACAGAGTCGCTTGCACAGCTAGTATGAAATAAACACATCTTCGTTATGTTCTTGCTCAGATGAGGTAAATAAATAACCTTTTTTTTACTTTTTATTCAGGTTCTCCTATGCTTTCTAAACTTAACGTCTTGTTACGAATCACTTGATACACCTATATTAAGTTTACCAATGAAGTTTAACAGTTAAAGTGTTACATTTATATATAGATCGATAAGATTAGCTTATCGGCAATACAGTCGAAATTCGCGAAGGTAATAGTCAGCGACATTTTAAGACAATTAGGCCGCTATTGTATTCGGCAATTGACGTCAACATACACACTTACACATATAATC